ATCGGTGAGTAGATGAATGAGAAGTGGGCAGCACCTTCACACTCAGCCACCTGAGCCTGGGATGACCACAGTGGATACACATCGAACACAGGGGGCTCCGAGAACCTGGTACCCTGACCAAACACACAACAGATGGCTTACATTGCCCCCTGATGGGAGCGCACAGCCGAAGAATCCTCGGTCCTGTCTGTGTTTAAGCATGTGCACAGCATCAAAGACAAAAACACAATTGGACATCGGATTATCGACCAACAATCATCTCTTATTGTCTATTCTCCTCAGACCACCGACTGAGCCTGTGCCGTTGCTCAATAATGCATAAAAGTCACCAAACTCACAGGCATGTCATTTAAACACTCGATCCATCAGGTCAGTGATAAACTACACACACAGGTTATCAAACACAGAGGAGTTAGTGAGCTGAAAAAAGGCAATGCAGGCAGTGACCTATGATGAGACGAGGAAGCAGCCAGAGATAACAGAACAGTCAACGAGAACGGAGGCTTTTAGTCCTAAATATTAAGTTCAGAGGATGGCCAGTTCACCGTCACGACCTTGACCACAGCAGCATCCGGATGAGTGCCAGAATAAGTTAAACACAACAGTGGACACCACCTCTCTTTATCACTTCCTCCTCTCCTCCACCTCCTGTTGCTTTTCTATCTGCCTCATCTTTCTATCTCCCTTCCTGCTCTCATATCTCCTCCATCTAAGTTCCATTAAACATCAACTCATTAGTAAAAGCCACCCGTGTGTGTGTGTGTGTGTGTGTGTGTGTGTGTGTGTGTGTGTGTGTGTGTGTGTGTGTGTGTGTGTGTGTGTGTGTGAGACAGAGAGTTTGAGTGTGTCAAAGAGAGCACAAAGGGACTTCATTAGTGCTTGCTTTAAATGTGTTGTTGATGCTACTGTCTTGTTGCTCTGGACAACCTTGAACATCATCAGTAATTAAAAACAGAGTAGACAACACATCAAAGTACTCCAAATTATGAACAGAAATAGATCAGTGGTATGTCCTAAAGTAGAAAAGATCTACTTTCCATGCATGTTTGTTCAGTTTTTCCACAAAAAATACGTATTTTTTTCTACAAAGCTGTGTGATTAATATCCTTTAGATTTCAGTTTTGACCTAATTTTGGCTACCATTTTTTGGAAGTCTGTAGAGATTCTAATGTAAAGCATTCTGGTCTCACAGTTTAAACCCTCAGAAGTTTAACCACCACTGAGCAACGTATAACCGCCACCAGATCAAGACGATTGTTAGGGATAAGCCCATTAAAAAACTTGGGCTGATATCAATATTATTTCTTCATTTATGGCTCATAACCGACATGTTCATACACTTTTGACACTGTTTAAGTGACCACACCACCTGCATTGCTCATCTGCTCCAGTGAAACACTCCCACAATCCCATGCTGCATCACTGACACATGGCCAAACAAATACTTGATGTCCAACCAGCAATGGTGCACCAGTCTCAGAAACTAAATGAGCCACATGACAGTAGGTTTTGGAGTCTTATTTCCTGATATTTGGACATCTCGCCTCTGATTGGCTAACAGCAACGCGGCTCTACCACTGACTCCGTTTGCTTTGCATCGTTGATGTTTTATCTCCACAAATAACACAAGCATGGAGGAGATTCCGCTGTGTGGTAGAGTTGCTAATGCTAACGGTTAGCTTCTACCAGCCAAGATGTTCTCAACCTACAACAGCCTTCCCCCGTCGTGGGTCAAGATGGATAAGTCCATGAATGTTTCTTTTGCATTTTAATTTAATTTTATTGCTGTTTTTACAGTGGTTCTTAAATGTTTTACTTGTTTTTTGTTCCATTTTTTAATATTAAACACTCTAGTCACCCCCTGGGTTGTGTTAAGCGCTATACAAATAAACACTGATTGATTGATTGATTGAGCTTTTCTTCCATTTTATATTTTGTTTATTTGTTTTTCTGTTTCAGAACTTTCTGAAGCACCCAGATACATTTGCAAGCTGTTTGTCTTTGTTATTTCTCTCTCACACACACACACACACACACACACACACACACACACACACACACACACACACACACACACACACACACACACACACACACACACACACACACACCATCAACAACCTCAGTGCACTGCTTTCCCAGGTGTTGTTCAACACACGACCACATTGCACAACAGCGTAGATGGAGAGACGCGTGTGAGCAGCTAAATAAATAAAGTGTCTGTTCCCAAGCTAAGTAAATGGCTGTCACACTGACAAATGCAAAACACTGAATCTTAGTCGAATTGCATTGAGTCGTCTCTCTCACAAACACACACGTGCACATAGAAAAACCCACACCATCACAGGCATTATTATACATACTGTGAGTGACAAAAACACAAACACCACAAGCACTGGCAAAAGGCATTAGAGTTGCACAAACACAGTCTGATTATATATTCATAATTTTGAATGGGTGACAGGTCTTAAGCAGTAAGGAGGGAGACGGGCTGAATGCTAATGAGCTACAATTTACATGAGAGCCGTGTCCTCCTCCGACATCACAAACACAAAAAGTAACAAATAGTCGAGCTTACACGGCCAAGCTACACAAAAGGAATGATTATGTCAGACTGCACGAGCATCTATCACATGATCACTAAAAAACAACACTTGCAGTTAACTTGTACAGCTGTCATCGTCATCCCTCAAGAAAGAGCACAACGATTGAACATGGCTGGTGTTGATGCAAAGCTTAGTGGAGAAAACAAACAGAAACTCACACTCAGCAGAAGAACGCTTTGAAATTACAATTAGGAGGGAGGAGTTCAAACTGCTACTCCAGAAATCCATTTATGCATCTAAACTATCAGTCCTGACTAATACACCACAGTGGGAAAACCTCGTCACATCTCTGAGACCTACTGAAGACCGTACATGGCATCAGGATGCAGTGGAATTATTACATGTTTAGCCTGACAAACATGAAGATCAATAAGAACTAAAAGTCGAATCGGGGAAACTAATGAGTCATTCATGAGACAAGGGATGGAAAAACTTTCATTTCTGAGCATAAAGTAGACTGCATCGTGCAAATCTGCAAAAATAATATTTCTATAACAATTAAGCAGCTATAAGAATTGTTTTGGGTCCTTTCCCGACAACAACCAGCTGAAAAGCTTCTTTCCATTAGCCTAGTGAACTAGACCAAATTCTTGCTTTGCAAAGTTTGGTCTAGGCATGCTCCATTGGAACCTCCGCAGCTCCTACCAGGTCTCTGGCTAGCCAATCACAGCTCTCTAGAGGGGTTTCAAACACATAAAGAGCTTTGATTGGTCCATAATGGTGGGCCAATCATAGTGCTCTATCTGCTTAGTGAACAAATCATAGAGCTTCATCTGCTTTGTGGGCCAATCAGGGCACTCTATATGCCTGGTGGGTGGGATGATGCAACAGAGTGAAACAAGAGTCACATTCATTGTCCAGTGGAATGCGGGGATCATTTGAAAGACAACGGTAGAACCCGCACCACAACCGAGAGCCGTCAATGGAGCGTGGCCAGACTAAATAATACATTTATTTAGTCTGGCTTGCCTGGCTATCTTTCCATTTGAAAAGCACGTAAATTAAATATAATTCCCATTTAAGTACTGGATAATGGGCCATTACAGCTAAATGACCCTAACTTACACATTATTAGTGTTATTGTTAAATAACAAACTGAAAATGGAGTTAATCTGTTATAAAGCTCGTTTTGACAAATTAAATCAAAACAAATAAAATATTTACTCTGATTCTGACTGAATTTCAATGCATATTCGTCTTTCATAAACAAGCAAATGGCTGCAGGTTTCATTAAAGCGCCGGAGCAGTTGCTTGATTTGTCAGTAAATATTTAGGGGCTATGATGGAACAGGAGTTAAGTGCTCGCCCCGTAATCAGAAGGGTCGAGCCCCGCTGAGACGGTTGTGTCCTGCTGCTGTTGGTCAGAGGGACCGGTGAAGCCTGTGTACGGCAGACTCGCCTCTGTCTGTGTGTCCCAGGGCAGCTGTGGCTACAATGTAGCTCATCACCAGCAGGTAGGGCTGTAGCGAAGCCTCCACGACGTCGACGGCTCGATTCTAAAAATTTGTCGACGTCAGATCCGGTAGTCGATGCACCGCACCCACTTGTTGCATCCCCTGGAGTTTGTAAATAGAGGAGGAATCTGCCTGTTTTTCCTCTAGTTCGCACTCTTCTCCGCCTTCACTAACATCTCCGCCAAATACCGAAGACCCGGAACAATGTCCGTCCACTACTAGATTATTTTCCTGTGTTGCCCGCCTTCGTCTCCCGGCAACGGACAACAACTTCCGGGGTCAGATGCGCTGCTTCGTCTCTACCGCAGATGTAGAAAATCACCGGGAGCGTTTCTCCCTTCATAAAGGAGCTTCTTTCAGACATTAGGAGAGCTGTTTTGGTGGTAGCAGTCTCTCCTCCGTGCTGGTCTGTTTGCTGCTGGGTGTTTTTGGTTTATTTAAACTTGGTAACTTGAACTTAACGTTGGTAAAGCTACTGTTAGCATTTTCGCTAACAGCTTCTTGCGTTGGGATAAGCTGTTACGTTTTGGTTTAGAGTTCATCTTTTTTGTGGTGCAGATCTCCCTTTTATTACATTTAGAGTGTTGTTGGTTTTCGATTTAGTTTAAAATATCACCTTGAGTTTGGTTTAACCACCCAGTTTAGAGTTTGGACTTTTGGAGATCCTTATTTTTGTCCAGAAGGTGCTACATCAAATACAGGCCATTTACCATTTTGTTACTCAGCAACAGAGTAAGGAGTCTTAACAGGAAAATCTGCTATTTTAAGCAACATCAAGCTCTATGAATATAAACACTATTTTCTCATTTTAAAAATCTTAGTACAAAAACTAGAAATCACCTGCTCTGCCAAACACCAATCAAAATCATAAAACTAGCAATGGATTCAGTTTGTGGATGAAAGGATCATCTCCCACACATAAGACTACCAACACTCCTACCTTCTTTAGCTTCCCATTGCGAGTGCCCACAAAAGCCACAGTGTTGCCACGGTAGTCGTACGCTGCCACAGAGGTCATGCCATCATCCTTGTCTATGAAGAGCGGCGTCCCTTCGATGGTGCTGGTTCCCCCCAGGGGCTGGTTGAAGTCCTGGCCACAGAAGTCATCATCTATCTGCAGGGGCTGCACAGAAAAACAAATTCATCATAAGCAATCTCTTTTGAGGATTTCATTTTTACTATGGCAGCACAAGTTTATTATTTTATTATATTTGTGTGTCTGTTGTGTCCTTGGGAAACACCGTAACCCGCCTTATCTGCTGGTGGTGGTCGGAGGGACCAGTGGCACCAGTGCTTGGCAGTCTTGCTTCTGTCAGTGCGCCCCAGCAGCTGTGGCTACTTTGTAGCTCATCATCACAAGTGTGTGAACATGTGTGTGAATGGGTGGATGACTGATTGCCTTGAAGGGTTGTAGAACCCCAAGGCCTGGAATATACTTGCTGTCTAACCTCACGCTGGCGCAGGCTGCGTCTTTTCTTCACATACTTGCTGCCACATGGGTCTGCACTGCATTTAGTACTGGAGTGTTCCACTAGGGGGCGTACTAGAAAACTAAGACTGGATAGAGAGCGGGCTTGTGGGTACAAGCAAAACAAACATGGCATCAACAAAAGAGCTCAGTAACTAGTTAATTCTGAGATGAAGACAGCAGCAGCATCATAGATGGTGTAAAATACTTCCAAACCAGAGACAGAGTCACCATGGTGAGTGTGTCTCGCTCGTTTTGTCAACTCCACCCACTGGTCGTACATTACAGCATTCAGACATGTTGCATTGCTTTTATTTTGGGGTGCATGCACAAACAACACTTCAAATTTTAAACAAGCCCTGAGGTGCTTTACCTTTTAATAGGATGTGACAGAAAACGTCGAGCTCAGACCATTAAGAGATTTATGTTTGGATCTGTTAATGCTTTAAAATGTTAGTTTGTCTGTTGACCCCATGGCTGCCATCATTTTACAGCGTCCTCTTTAACAGAGAGGTGGCTGACCACCAGGTAAGACACTGATGATTACATGAGGCTTCAGACAAACCAGAATATCCTTAAATCCTGAAAGAAACCAACGGATAAGTAAGACGTGACTAAAGTCAAGCCTGGGATGAAAAAGCCAGCGCACCCCCAGTTTTCCCTAAAACCACCGAGTCCCAGCGGGACTGCTGGCCAACTCACTGGTCTTTCATATAACTATAATGCTTTGATTCAAATGCCAAACACTTTAAGTAGGCTATTCAGAAAAAGCCCCATTCATTCATGCACACAGTTTTCTCTCAAGCACAAACCCACCGTGCAAAACCCTTTTTTTAATTTGAGAGTGTTCCGTCATGGTGGTGACACGGTGGTAATGGTGGTGACCATGTGACAATATCGGGAGCATTCCAGAGTCACGAGGGGCACATCGCCCAAGGCAGTTCATTGACCCATATGATCTCTTAACCAGCCACCACACACACACACGCACACACCCAGAGCATTATATATGGAGAAAGGTTCAAGTGCCAACATGAATTAATTCTTTTGTTGGATGATGAATGATTTGTTAAGCAAACATATTTTGAACAGATTCTTCTGGTTTCCATCCATTAGTGATGGAATTAGTCAACTGAATGATTGGGAGGGTGACACTATTCAAGATTACTTTACAATTTCTTGACCTGAACAAACCATAAGATCTACTCTAACTCAAAAGTAGCAACAGAACCACTCAGTAGTTTCATTTAACGATCGGATTGTCAAACACTTTTCCCATTATGTCAAAAAACGTATGCGACACCCCAAGAGCTCCAAGCAGCTAGATTCCACCACGGCACGGGGTTTCTAAAGTAAAGGAAATGTGAACTTGAGATGATACACACACGCTCACACACACTTGGGGAGTGTGTAAATAGCAGTGTAATCCACAGACTTATCACTACATCATCTGATCGATCCACACAGGAAAAAAGATAACGCCCCTCCTCCTCCACGCTCTCTCCCCAATGATCTACCTAAATTGCCTGCAGCTCAGCACATGTCAATAAAATGCTCTTTTATGTTGTTGCTTTTTATCTCACTGGTTTTCTGCTTGCTTCCTGCAGCCACAGTAACTGAGCAAACTTCAATTTGCACTCCATCTGTTTCAACCTGCTCCAACTCGGATAAATCTCCCATCTCCAACCTTAATACAATTTTATGTTCTTGAGAAAGTGTTAGAAAACTCAGGTTGATTAACAAACTGTTTGTCCTTATAGATCCTCCAAATGTTAGTGTACAGGTCTGCTCATACGGGTGTTTATTTTTACATAAACATCAAAAACAAACAACAGGGCGTGGATAGACAAAGACCTGGATTCATTTTGGTATCCAGTCCATGCCGGCTTGGCTACAGAGCTTAGAGGCAACAAGTTTACAGTCATGTGAAAGAAATCCATCAGCCTGAATTAGAGTCAGCTGCGCGCGCGCGCGCGCACACACACACACACACACACACACACACACACACACACACACACACACACACAGGCAATCCCATGACATCAGCGCCTAAAGGACACAAGTTAAAAGGATTAATTCATCATCAATGGATGAGAGTAACTTCTGAAAACAGAATGAAGCTGCCAAAATATATACTCCACTGGTACACACACTAGGGATGTAAGAAAATATCAATATGGCAATATATCGTGATATTTTTTCCCAGCAATATTATATCGATATTCAAAAGCCGTGTATCGGAAAAATCGATATGGCAATATATCGTGATATTTTTTCCTGCAATTGTTAAATCGATATTCAAAAGCCGTGTATCTAATTCCTGAAAGAATTTACATGCAAACTTTTGTGTATTTTCTTTTCGTTTTGCGCAATTCAATCGCCACCCGCTAGCTGGCAGCAGTGTGCAGTGGGTTTTGTTTCCACCACTGAAATGTAAATCCCTCCATCATGGTTCATATACCTCATGTTAAACATGTTACGTATCAGTTTGGACTGTTTATTGAACATTCTTACAATAAATTCAGTATAAAAAAATTGCTTGTAACGTCTGACTGAATGTATCGCAATATATCGTGATATATCGTATCATCTCCCCTGTATCGTGATATGTATCGCATCGCCAGAATTTCAAAAATACACATCCCTAACACACACCTACGCCCACACACAGCAGCAGGTAAAAGTTGTATACCTTTACTGCAAGTCTGGAGGGTTTAAACAGCAGAGATCAGCACAGAATTAAAGGCATTTCTCTTGAGGTTGGAAAACCTTTTAAAGGGGCAACTCTTTGGTTTATTATGCAATTTAACACACTGAAAGTTTCCCGTGAGAATCTGAAGCAATATTCAGCATGTAGATAATGTTCATCTCTGTGGTCTCTGCAGGATTATTGGCAGGAGACCTCGTTGGGAGCTCTGAAGCTTTTTAAAGAGGCAGTGAGGAAAGCGTTAAACCAACAACCTTCCACCGACGTTGCCAGGAGTGTCTCGTAAATGGAAAAGAGGAGGTTCCTTGTTTTGGTTCTCAGTGATTCCATGTGCTGTGCTTGACGGGAATTTGCAATTTCCTCAAACTTTACAATGAATCATGACACTTACAGAGCACCCATGTGACCTGTTGGTTACGATTCACAGTCACAGAGACATGAGGGAGACCGAATATATGAAATGTAAACAAATAGGCACGTGCCAAATTTAAGTTAGACTGTTAGCTTGTGAAATACACTCCTCGTGTGGTACACACAGCTCTGGCCTACAATAACACTGACTGATTGCTGGTGGCTGGCTGGTCTGTGCTGGAGGAAATGATTACCATTTCTACAACGTCAGGAAAATGTGTCCAGGTACATGTTCCACTAACCTCAGTTGGGTCTCGTCAATAGACACCTCCATTCAGTTCACCATTTAGAAACAGCTGAGTACAATACAGGCTCACATATCGGTCACAGCTGTGAATTACAGCTATTGAGGTGGAAGCAAAACATGTGACAAACACAAAACATGCTCTCATTCCTTCAGCAACATGCAAATAAACGGAGCAGCAGGTTCCAGTTAACTGGTATTTGGTTTCAGTGTATGATGTAAACCAGCATTATGAAAAATGGTAAATGACCTGTAGTGCCTTCTAGAGTTCTACACCCCCCAAGGCACTTTACACACAAAGTCAATCACCAACACACACATTCATACACTGATGGTGATGAGCTACATCATAGCCACATCTGTCCTGGGACACACTGACAGAAGTGAAGCTGCCAAGCACAGGCACCACCAGTCCCTCTGACCACCACCAGCAGGCAAGAAGGGTGAGCTGTCTTGCCCAAGGACGCAACATCTGCAACAATGGGGCTTGAACCTGCGACCTTCTGGATGGATGTATAGGGCTTATAGTATCGGCTCAACTGTGGCCTGGCAATTCAGTTTTTCTTACTGCATTAAACCCCCTGACTGATACTGTGGATGTGAAAGTCCCATCCATCCATCCATCCATCCATCCATCCATCCATCCACTTCCACTTATCCGGAGTCAGATCGCAGGGGCAGCAGCCTAAGTAAAGAGGCCCAGGCTTCCCTCTACTCAGCCACTCGGACCATCTCTTCAGGGGAAACCCCAAAGAGTTTCCTGGCCAGGTGAGAGACATGGTCCCTCCAACGTGATCTGGGTCACCCTTTAGGTCTCCAGGTTGGAGGTGCCTGGAAAACCTCACAGGGATGCATCCAGGAGGCATCTTAATCAGATGCCAAAGCCACGTCAACTGGCTCCTCTCGATGTGAAGGAGCAGCAGATCTACTCCAAGCCCCTCACTGATGACCTAGCTTCTCACCCTATCTCTAATGGAGAGCCCAGACATGCTGTGGAGAGAACTCATTTTGGCCGCTTGTATTCGTGATCTTGTTCTTTCGGTCACTACCCAAAGTTCGTGACCATAGGTGAGGGTAGGAATGTCTCAGCTCTCTCTTCGCCACGACAGATCGGTACAACGCCCACATCACTGCAGTCACAGCACCAATCCGCCAATCGATCTTGCGCTCCAGCGTTTCCAATGGGAAAGCCACATAAATAAAATGGCTCACTTCTATGAGAATTAGAGGGTGTGGCGATTCTATATGGGAGTGTGTGTCGTGTGGAAAAGGACACAACAGGGCATGAAA